CTGACAGCAAGCTCCGGGCGGGTCCACGCAAGTGCTGCAATGTTGTATGCCTGGTACGCCGCCCTGGTTTTTCCCTGCAGAGTTGCGACCTGATCACCTGAAGACCATATGCTGTCAGCTCTCAAAATTGAAAGACTAGCTCCAATGATAGGGCATACCTGTCTTATCCCCCCCGAGGATATGTTCACAATGAGTGAGTTCATGAAGAAGTGTACCGGCAGCAGCTGTAAATTTCATGTCATCCAAGGTCTTGCCATTCAGAGCGGACATCTCATTAGCGTATTGAGAAAGCTTGTTCGCTGTATTAGTTCTTTTGAATGTACTTGGACAGATAGTTATCTCGTCCTTTAATGTGACATCGTTCTTGAGAGTCCATCCGTGGACACCTTCATTTTCATGGCATAGTTTCGCAGTAGCCGATACTCGCAATCCCGTGGATGCCTCACCCTCGGGCCGCGTGTCCTTATACACACCTGTGGATTATTTGATTTTAGCTATTATCACCCGTATTCAAGGTCAACATGCTAAGTAAAACCCACGCTTTGTTTGGTCACTTTCCTCGGGCTGGTAAACCAAGAAGTGGTCGCTGCAGTGAATCGTGACTGTGAGTGTTGACTCCGTTAAGGCTTGGTGGATTCTTTTGTAAATTGCTATCAGACATGATCAATTAGTGTATCTATTCCCTTCCCCAACACTATTAAGTCATTATATTCACGTCGGATTATTGGAGATAAGAATGGATTGATACTAACAGGATAACAGCGTCATCCGTTGCGCTATCGTCGTCCATGAACTCAATTGTTGTTCGGTCCGTGCTGTCGTAGCAGGATTGAATTTGATCCACCCTATAAACTTTTGGAACGTGTTTAAAAGTCTCCTATTTTCAGAATAACGAGTTCCCCAATCTTGAGGCTGCTCTTTCTCCCTAATGACGTTTCGTATTATCCTGAGTTGTTGCTGTGCCTGGACCAACTATCCGGACTGTTAGCTGCACCGCTTACAAAGTTTCTATGACTGTGTCCACGAGGAACCCATTGAGCAAAAATATTCACTTACCACAAGCTTGATTTCATCAAGTTCCTCCTTGATATATCTTTGTTGAGCGTCGTCACATGTTGAAGAGAATGTTACTCCGGGGTAGTCCAAGGCCCTCTTAGAGAGATGCCTGTGCGGGATGCCGGAATCATTGGCTTTCAGGGCATATTCTGCAAGGTCAGGGGGGATTTCAAAAGGAAAGGCAGTTGTATAAGGCAAAAGGAGTGTCCACAGGAATAGTTGGATTCCCACTGTCCAGTTAAAGAAAGACTGAAAATGAATGTGGGCCTTCATTATGAGGATAAAAGAGAGTGAATGAAGAGATGGCCAGTGGTGAAAAGAGCGATATCAAAAGTAGAGATGAAATAGAGACAGATTGAATTACTTAAACAGTGTTGATAGATTGACTGCCTTCGTGGATGGTCTCGATGCGATATCTATTCTTACACCCATTACATGACCAAACACGTCTTGTATCGCACTCAGTGCCAAATAAATGGCTCGTATTAGTTCTGACCCACGCTGGGTGGACATGGGTGTAGGTAGCATTCGATTCTTTCCCAAGCCCATGTCCCAACGGGACATCTCTAAGAAGCGATGCATCCTTGGACTGTAATTGACATGGTCAAATGCGAGGCTAGCCATACATTGGAGCCTATCGGGGGCCATATTAAACCACTACTACGGAATAATCTATCCATTTGGATATTGTGCGCAGAGAATAATCTTCTTGCAAATGCTATGGCACCATCTCATATCCAATAGTCCTCTTCGGCCACCTTACTCCACGGCGCTATTGCATATCCCTAAACAAAAATATGTCTCATCTCGGAACGGAGCTAAGTCATTTCCAGGGGAAACAATCTATGTGCTCTCCTGAGTGACAAGCTAAAGGATGAAAGCCGGAATAACGGTTCAATGGCTGTGTAAACTTCCCGAGCGTCTTGAAGTGAGATCCTTGTCTGAATACTATACCTCTCCAACATAGGCTAGCTGTCCTGGGGCGAGACCGTGAGTCTAAACACTATGTAACCTCATAAAATTGGCTCTAACTAATTTCGTCAAGCATTACAGTAATGCAAGGCCCAGGTGGTGTTGATTTCTTGGTGTCTGCGTCGGTGTAGATCTAGTTCGTGCACTAAAATATGCAACATCGGCCCACACGCTTGGTCCAACGGAATTGTCTGAGACCACAGGACCATGTGGGGGTATACAATTGAAGCATAGTATTGTTTGGCTTTTTCTTTGTCGCCCCCTTTACAGCTAATTTGATTATGTAGTTAGGCAGGAGATATAGCAGGGACGTAGATTTGCAGACTTAGAGTTAGCGAGCAGGATCTGACTAATGTACGACGGTGGTCCCTGACAATAGATAACAAATGTATAAGAACCCTGAGCAAAGCCCAAACCGGTCATATTCACCATCTGTTGTACTTGGGTTTCATTAAACGTTCCATAGTCATGAAATATCCGACAATAACAGCATGGTTGCTGTTCAGCGGCTCATGCATGGTTCCCTCTGCCGAAGCCGGAATGGGAACCTGCTCTGAGACCGAGAAATGTGAAACAGGATGCTGCTCAAAGGAAGGATTCTGTGGCTTTGGTCCTAGCTTTTGTAGCAAGGATGTCTGTATCTCAACATGCGATGCGATAGCTGAGTGCGGTAGTAAGTACTTTTATGACAGGGCTTACGCCAGTGATTAACCAATATCTAGAATACGCAAAAGTTCCTGGCACAGAGTGTCCATTGAATGTGTGCTGTTCTGAATATGGGTATGCATAGTGGGCTACGTTCTATGATCGCTTGCTAAGTATAGGTAGATTCTGTGGCACCACAGACGAGTTCTGTGGAAAAGGATGTCAGAGTGGGTGCGATCCAGTCAATCGGCCGTATGTCCCTAGACTTGTAATAACTACGTCCGGTTAGCCGCTAATGACACCATATATCAGGTCTTGCTCAGGAACATCAAGTGAAGCGATGTACATTGGCTACTATGAGGGATGGAACCCTGATCGGCCGTGCGACGTCGTGCTGCCGGAGAATATCAATGTTAACCCCTGGACTGTGCGTTGCCTCTGGCTCAGTGAGTATCTGTATAGAGCAGTAGCAGTGCTAATAATGTGTGTCAGCATTTGTATTACTCATTCGCAGGAATTGATCCGTCCGATTTTACAATCACCACTACTAATGCCAATGACAAGACACACTGGTCCAAGTTCACCGCATTAAAGAAGAAGAAGCCTTCACTAAAGACGTATATCTCGGTAGGAGGCTGGGACGTTGGAGGCAAAGTCTTCTCTGATATGGTGCGGTTTCCTGGTACACGAAAGGCGTTTATTGACTCGGCTATCTCCATGATGACTGAGTATGGCTTTGATGGGATTGATATTGACTGGGAGTACCCTGCTGCTGAGGATCGTGGTATGCTATCTTCTTGCGCTGAGCGTGTATAACAATACGCATGCCCTAGTAGCACGTCCCAATCAGATGCTAATTACAAGCAGGTGGCGCTCCAAGGGACACTGCAAACTTGGTGAAATTCCTTTCTGAGCTCAGAAACGCAGTGGGAACCAAATTTGGTCTCACAGTTACATTACCATCTTCGTACTGTCAGTTGGAGTCAATTTATGAATTCATGGATGTTTCAGTTAAGACTGGTACTGACTATGGGACAGGGTACCTGAAGGGCTTCAACATCGCCGATATGGCCAAATATATCGATCATTTCAACTTCATGTCCTATGATATCCACGGAACCTGGGACGGCCGCACCAGTAAATGGACGAGCTCTGTTGTTAACCCCCACACAAACCTGACCGGTATGTTCATAATGCAATGTTGAGTCCCATCTCCTCCCTTCCAAGTGGCAATGGAATTAAGACCCGACAGAAATATCCGCTGGCCTTGATCTTCTGTGGCGCAATGGGGTTGAACCCAGCAAGGTTCTGCTCGGTTTGGGGTTTTATGGGCGCTCCTTCAAACTGGCCGATTCCACCTGCAACACTCCTGGTTGTGACTTCTACACCGAGAACCATAGCACCGGAGGCGCGGTTGCTGGCGAATGCACTGGAACCAGTGGCTTTCTATCAGACTATGAGATCAATCGAATTATCAGTGACTATTCAGTTGATGTCCACTATGATGAGGCTGCAGCTGTCAATTGGATGACCTGGAGTGGAGATCAGTGGTATGTGCACTCAGAACTTTCATTCATCCCCTGATATTCCATTCCTATTGGCACCCTGATGACTGACTGCCATGGTATCTAGGGTTTCCTTTGATAACGGTCATACGCTCAAACAGAAGGCTGACTTTGCCAATGGTAAATGCCTGGGTGGGCTCTTCAGTTGGGCTCTCGACCTTGGTGGCCCTGGCTCTATGAAAAACCCCAACGGGATGACGGCAGATGATACTAGTATGGACGGGGCGAGTGCTGAGGGAGGCAGTGATGGAACTGGTCTTCTGTACGCGGGGCAGGAGATTTTCGGTGATTCACCCACCGTGACTGCCATTGCCCCTGTCAGCATCATTTTCCCTAAGTCTGTTATGAGCACCCCGACAACTATTGACTTTGGAGCCGGTTATCCAACCTCCTTGGAGGTGGCATGGCGGACCACCAAAACAGTCACTGTTGACGGTATCGCGACTGTCACTTCGACAGTTACGCGGTATATAATGCCGACGACTATTCCACTACCGCCTATTACCACAAACACTGTCAACTACTATAACTGGAACATTAGTGATATTGTCACTGTCAGCAGGGGGCTCCTTATTCCAAGTTTTGAGATTCCACCGGTTGTAGTGACCAATCATCCAAACCCGCTGAACGAGACAGGCGTCACTCACTCACCCCTTGCAACTCGCACAGTTAGTATTCCTCCATGGCCGTGGACTACTGATGGGACCCAGTATCCTACAGTTACTTTTACTCAAGGTCATCCTCCTGGTCCAACTTGCACCGCCAATTGCGGCCATAAATGTTACAGCTTTTGCAATGGACCCTGTCTAACTGACTGTGGCGTGGGGAGCACATCCAGCTTCGTTGACCCAGAGGATCCCGATGCTCCTTCGGTCAGCAAATGCTCAGGCCCTGGTTGTTTGAATGGAAAGTGCACTGATCGTGGGCTCTGTATTGAGAGAGGCTGTACTGGCAAGGACTGCAAGAACCGGATTTGTGTTGGAGATGAATGTATTCCCACGGCCTGTGCGGGCCCTGACTGTGATAGTGGGCACTGTAATGGTGATAAATGCCAGGACCACGGTTGCATTGGTAAGGATTGCGATGGTAAGGGTGGCAAAAGCGACAACGACAACGACGACAACAATGATGACGACGACGACAACCATGGCGGCGGTGGAAGAAGCTCAGGCCGGTGTTTTGGGCCTTCCTGCCTCTCTTGGGGCTGTATAGGTAGCCAATGCTCCCACACCGACTTTACCTGCAAAGGCCCCCAGTGTCGCGTTGTAACATGTTCCGGTCCCGGCTGCAGTAATGGTGTCTGCACGGGAAAGGGCTGCAAGACTGAAGACTCCGATTGCGAGCACCAAGAGGCAGATAGCTGTACAGCATACATAACCAGTCTGCTGGTTACACCTGTCTCGACCTATTCAACCACTACAGTGACTAGCCGCTGTGAAACAATCACGGCTTGCGCGGCTAGACCGACGACGGTGACCAGCACTATCGACAAGAATGGTTTGAATGAAGGCACTATTTCCAATATTGATTACGCCATGAGTGATGATCCATCGCTCGCAAGCTATCTTGATGAGCAATTGAGCAGCTTCTTCGACTCAGCGTTTGCCACCGCCACAACCACTACCAGCACTACGAGCACGGCCGAAACTACAACCTCTTCAACGAAGACGACCTCTACAACACCTACACCATCTGAAACAGGCTTCGAATGCGGAGGCTCCCGTATGTGTAAAACCTTTCCCAAGATTCACGCCTTCTGCGATATGGCCAAGAGCTTCCTGAAAGACAACACAGTATACGGGTAGGTCCTTCACTTCAATCCGTTAAACGGGAGATACTGAGATTGTGAGCAGCAACACGAAAAAAGGCATGGACTCTGGGGCCTGTTATACGGACGGTAAGAATGCTGGTTACGGTTGTGGTGTCTTCGTTGAAGGCAAAAATTGCCAAATGACCGGGGCTGAATTGGCTGCGTGAGTTCATCTCGTTTCACTGTCTATATTAGCCTGACTGACTTCTCTGTAGTACCTACGATCATATTTATCAAAAGACTGGCGGAGGCTGCACAAAGTGCGGCCGTGCATATTTATCAAATGGATGCGAGGTGCATGCCGACTATGTCAGTAAATGCCATAATACAAATGGCGTTCTGGTGCCATATCCAGGGAATGACTCTGATGTCATGACGGCTTCATCCTCGACCGCCCAAACACTGACATTGGAGGGCTGAAGGCTTGGTGTTATTACTAAACTCATTGTATAAATAGGACTGCAGCATTAACATATCTAGAAGCACAGTGGAGCCAGACCTCCTAGTCTACGTGTCACTGCGCTATGTGCGTATTCGCTGTATATCTCGTGTAAAATGGCTGGACAAAATACATCAGTGGATATTTGTATGAGGTCTAGCGTATAACTATAGTTTATACTACTAATTACTTTTGGTTAGTTCAGTAGCTCTTAAGCCGTTAGTTCTGATAGCAGTGACTAGTATAAAGTCCTGGGTAGGTAGCCACTTCTCTTTGAATCCCCTTCTTCTCCCACCTGCAGCCAAAGCTTTCAAAAATGATCCCCTATCCTTTGCTCTTTCTAGCTTTCCTACACCTAAGGATAGTGCTAGGTGCGCTATCCCTCGATGAACTCGCCCCCAAAATCAACCATCTTCGGTCCCAACGTCGCTCAAAACCTCTCCATGAAGTGGAGCTAGTCTCCCCCTCTCGTCTCAAGCTTCTAAACACCTTGGAGCCCGAAAGACGGAGAACATACAGCTTGAACTGGGCCGGCGCGGTACTCCACAACCCAGCCCCAAGCGCAGCATACACCTACGTCTCGGCAACTATAACTGTCCCAACTCCAACTCCAAGCCCAAGCGACAGCACTACCTACCAGGCTGCTTCTGCTTGGGTCGGCATTGACGGCGTCACCTCCACGAATGCAATCCTACAGACCGGCTTTGACCTGTACGTCATAGAGGGAAACCCACTCATTGATGCGTGGTACGAATGGTATCCAGGTTTTGCCCGATACTATGCGGATTTCACCGTGAATCCAGGGGATGTAATTGTGGCTTCTGTCAATGTAACTGCGCCGGATGAGGGAGTGTGTCTGATCCAAAATCAGAGCACCGGGGAGACAGTGTCAGAGACAGTCTATGCGCCAGATAGCTCGGCGACAGTGGTTGGGTGGGATGCGGAGTGGGTGGTAGAGAACTTTGATTCGGACGGGCGCCCGCGCCGCTTGTGTCGTTCGATCCGGTTCATTTTGAGAATTGCGCTGCTTATGCTGGTGGTGTTGGGCATGGATTGGAAAATGCCACGGTTTATGAATTGGTCAAAAATAATGTGGTTGTGGCTGGTGTCAAGGTTGTGCAGGACGACATGGTTATTACGCGCTTTGGGGTCTGATTGTCAAACAATCAATCGGGCTCCTTATTAACTTGCAACTTTGCCTCGTTTTCGAGTATGCTCCCCGAAATTGCAGAAAATATAAGTGATATACAAAGGAGGGATGTGTTGGTCCTATTCGCTTACACTCGTAGCAAATGCCCACCAATACATCAGCATGCTTTCTATGATATGTGTCACAGATTCTAGGGTGAGATGGTCTGATATAGAGATAACTTAGCTGCCTGTAACAGCGGTGATCTATATAGATGTGCTGTCACACCTAGTATATCATAGCCCCATAGCCAGCGCGACTAGCATCTAGGTCGACATGTACTTATAGAGCAGGATGAAAGTAAATTAAAATAGGTATATCGGTAGAGCTATACGCTATTTCTATGTAGGCTTTATATCGGAGCTTACCGTAAAATCCTGATAATACTATTTTGAATCATTAAACAGTTTCTGTAGTTTATATATAATTGATTTATGATGAGAGACATTCTAAGGATTCGTTATATATTCTTGACGTTGGAAAATAGTGCGCTTCGCCGCTCCGCCTGTCTTGGCCCTGTGGTCCTTGATCTGCTGGCCTGAGGCCTCCCCGTATTGTCTCACCTCCACCTAGGCCAATATTACTAACCCAGTACGGCGTAACTATAATTAGTTAGTTACTTTTGGAACACACCTCCGTATAGCTTCTCTAGAAAAGTAAATATTGTAAGAAAGATATTATTAGGACATGCAACAAAACGCTTCAGGTATACTAGTAATGGGCCTGTGCCCTATTACCTGAATTACTGTTGAGGTCCATAGTGGTTAGTATTCCGGCTTTGTCCGAATGTTCTCTTTGGTGGGCGGTAGGAGAAGCTCACTAATTAAGGTGGCGGTGTGCATTTTAACCAAGATTTGATCCACAATTAGTAACCACACTTTTTTTACTCCATTGCCTGATCCGGATATCCACCCAGCATAGCACTGTACGATGGGATGGGGGAAGATGCAACTCAATTTTCCAAATTTCTGTATTGGTCTCTGCAAGGGCCTAGATACTGATCCTTCACCCCATCCGTTATCAGCCAGATCCAGACCACCCGCTTAATGTGAAACATATGTTGCGGTTGATCTATTATTGGAAGAAGTAGCCTGGAACTTGTAAGACACCCGGCTTATTATGGGTGCTGTGAATTTCATCCGACCCATTCCAGAAGCTTGCGAGTCCCACTCAAATCTAGATGCCTTTATACCATTCACCCAATGGTTTCCGCCTAAGCGAAGCCAGTCCAAAGTCCTCAGCCTTGTCTTCGACTTGATGATAGAGCTCAGCCATCATCTGGTTGACTCGATTCTGAAATTGCACAGATGCTCCCATGACATGCTGGTTTGGCTCTCGTCCCTATGCGACCAGTCAATGAGAGAACGAGAGCCCAAAGGGCTATGAAAGACGACTTACGTTACCGGCGGGTTCCAAGCGACCGCCATGTGGATCCACCACATTGTCTTTTCCTCCATGCTCCTTTGAACTCGTAGACACCATCGAGTCTGGATCTATAGCAGGCGCCCTTTCGCATTGACTGTTAACAAGACCTTGCAGCGCTGCATCAGCTTCGCGGTATAACATAGCGCCAATTCGGTCCATCTCTTCTTGAGTAAACATCAAAGCGTTAGGTTCTGCCACGCCGTCCTCGATCTGAAACCAAAGAAACGAAGCGATTATCAGTCTCTGTGGGAATTCTCTCTATCGATTGCACATACCTGTGTGGCGAGCAGTGGAGGTTCAAATGCGGAACCATTGTCGGGTATGCCTTTGCGACTGTGTGTGTATGACGCGTCATGCTGATCACGTTCGATGCTGCTGGCGGGCCAATTGCTTTCCTTATCCATATCATATTCATTGCCTTCTTTGTTTCTGCTAATAATTTCCGGAAGAGGTGTTGAGCTTCTTATACCATTTCTTGCCCCGATCCTCTCATTTGAAGTTATGTCTAAAGATGCCGTATCGCAAGCTTTATGCGGTAGCTCAGCTTCAGAAATTTGGGACTCGGTACCAGAGCCCTTGTTATGGTGGGCTATAAGTCCACCTTGTTCGCCATGCGATGGAGTAGACGTGTCGATCTTACTGCCTTCCGTTGTCTTGAGGGTCTTCCTTGTAGGCTCTGTCATTGGGCTTGTATGCAAATTAGCGTTCTCATCTAAACATATGGTGGTAAGGCAACTAGGAGACTGAGCTGAACTCTCGAATTGTCTGGGCGCTATCGTTTTCAATCTAAGCTCGAAGTCGGCGTCTGCACTTCTTGATTCAGACAATGTTGGGGCATGTCCTGTGTTGTCTATCAAGAACCTGATTAGCGCGTTCCAGTCACGCACGTCAGGAGGAGAGGTGCTCTTAAGTACCAGTTGTGTTCCTCTCTCCTAGGTCAGAGCTATTATCGACCAGAAGACTGCGTGCTGAGAAAACTGCAGAAAGGGTCACATCAGAGAGATTTGTTTCCTGTGAGTAACAACACAGGGAGTGTTCTGAAGAAGTGTGATTCCCAGAGGCCACAAAGAACTGCTTCACCCTTTCCCATGTTGTGTTGATGGAGTTTTCCCATTGCGATAGAGACTCTCTTGATAAGGCCGAGAACAGAGAGTGTGCTTTCAGTGAATGATAGAGTGGTTCGGCACAGCACGCCACTAATGGCTTGACAGGAGATTGCCAGTGAATGTCTTCTAACAATGACCCTAACCCAAGATAGCCAGTGTTAGCAAAGGATTGATAATCTGCGATTGAGCTTAGTGGGTCTGGTCTCTCCACAGCTGCACTAGTTAGTGACGAGGATCGGCTTTTATAGGTCATACGATCCCCTTGTGATCCTTCAGATGGAGATATGCTATGCGCCTCAGTGGATGGAGACACAGAAAAGAAACGGCGATTTCTTTGCCAATTTTGATGCAATGGCCTGTCGCTGAACAGTGAATGCAAATCTTGATCACAGCTGGACCCATCAGAGTATGCATATGGAGAAAAGCCATTTGAGTCTGTAGATGTACTCATGTTGTTCTCACTGTCGCTCTGATCTGTATCTTCCTCTTGTTGTTCAACAAACCTGGTATGCCGCAAGAGCAATCTTTCCAGACAGTCATGGACGTCGCTTTCCCCAAGCGTTATCCGGGTGGGTTTATATCGAATCATGATGTCTGATGATGCCGTGGATAGGATGTTCCGTTCATGAGAGCAGCCTTGTCAATTACTGATGAGAGGATGGTGTAGTTGGATATGGTAAACTATAAGGGACCCCTTCTATTTATTGATGCCGATGGGCTCAGGTAAGGAATAAATTGTTGCAAGTCACTGATATGGAAATTACAGGTGTTGAATCTTCAAGGAAAGTGCGATGGTGAATCGTATACAGTATGCTCCCAGTGTATACCTTACAAAGCATGATTAAGTGTTCTACTAGAAGCATTTTGTTCACGTCCCCGATCTAGGCAGAGTCTCGTATTTGTCTCCCCTAATGTTTTCGTATTTATCTTTTTTCGAGTCACGATGTCTCTCGTGTAGACTCCAACCATGGGATAGGTGTATATGTACGTAGTCGTGGAAGTGGACCTCGGGAGCTGTGGCTGTACCCTGTAGAGACGGTACATCAGTAGTTAGTTGGTGGGATGGTACTCGGTAATATTAGTATGAGTTTTATTTTATTTTATTAAAATAATAATATTATCAAAAGAACATGTGTTTATTCGACCAGGCAAATGATAAAAGCCGAGGCCAAGAGGGCCTGCGCAGGACCAATCCGAATTACAACAGAAAAGAAAAGAAAAATCAACGCAACTCAAAGGAAAATAGAATTACGCCGGATGATGGATCTTCGGACACTGCCAGCTTGTCTCTAGGCAGTCATTTATTTACTCCTACGTACTTGACTTACATACTAGTACTGGATAAGCTATGGATGCGATGCTAATAATAAACTGATTGCCCAAAGGAGGATATCCTGAGAACCTCAGGCTGCCAACCTTCAGCCTCTTTCTTGCATCTCCTCTTTTTGACCTCCTGTTCTCACCCCTCGTTCACCTCTATACTTCTTTTTTTCTTTCTTTCCTCTTTTTTCCCTCCCTCGTCGCCATTCGTAATCCGATCGTTTCCTTTCGTTTCTGTTTTCGATTCTTTTATTCCTCTTGAATTTTATTCTGGATTTGAAAGACAGTTCAGGATACATTTTCGGGTTGTCAGAAGTTCTATAGCTAGGACTGTCGTTGTTGTATCATGCATCATCCGCAACTCCCCCGACCGCCGCCATAGTCCGTCGGTCACCCCTCTATATTCGCAGGAGGTTCTACCCTATTGTTATCTCTCTTCTACGCTCCCTTTCTGGGCCACCACCTTTTTCTCTCGCCCTCCTCCTTTCTACTCCCCATCCCCTTTTCTTTCCCGCACCCTCTCGGATAC